GATTTTAATAACGCTCTCAACAAGCTCGCCGAGAAGTTGGAAACTAGATGTAAGAACCAGAAAGATATTTTGAAAAATTCACTCATCGACCAATATCTACAAGAGGCAGTTGCTGATGGAACTATTAATGATCCACAGATCGAGATAAATCGCCTTATGGCTGGCGACGATGAAGCTGATGGCAACCTGTGGAGCCCAGGTGCGAATCAAGACGAATCAGATAATTGAAAGAAAAAGCAAGAAGCACAGCAACTGTGCGGGAGGTAGACCCAACTTGTAACATATTTCAAAATCAAATATATTTTAATTGGAAGAACCTAACGCTCTTTTAGCTGCACCCAAAAATCTGGGGGCGTTATAATTAAGCCATTGTTATTCTTGGTAAGATCTGGTAGTGTGTCGCCCGGCGCCAGGGTATAGTCGAAGTTCTGCAGCATGGCTGTGGTCATCAGGAAGAGCATGTTCCGTGCAAAGGTCTCGCCGGCACACAGACGCTTGCCGGCGCCAAAGGGCAGGGATATGTCCAGCTTGAGGCACAATTGACCCTGATTGTCCAGAAAGCGTTCGGGCCGAAACTTTTCGGGATCCGACCAAATGCGTTTGTCCATGTGATAGGCATATAGGCTGGGTATGATAACAGTGCCCTGTGAAAAGATTAAAGATAAGTTAGATAAGTGAAGCGATTCCGTGAGAGATTCATGTTAACCCACCTTGGGTATGCGATAACCCATCAGTTCGGTGTCGTTCAGTGTTTTGTGTGGCACATTCGATGGCACCAATGTCTCAATGCGCAGATTTTCACGTATTGTCGCCTCCGTGTATGGCATATTCTTGCGATCCTCCAGCGTGGGCAAACGTCCGCTGCCCACCACCTCGTCGATCTCGCGTTGCACTCGTTTCGCGACCTCGGGATAGAGCATCATGTACTGGACAATCAGTGACAATTGGGAACCAACTGCCGTGAAGGCGGGAAATGAGAAGTCGACGAGACCCATAATGAACTGCTCCCGATTAAAACCATACTCTTCGGGCAAGCCCTTTTTCATCTCGGCTATATAGAGATCCAGAAAGTTGCGCTCGCTGCAGTCATCGTAGCTATCGATGTGACGATCCACGAATTCCGAAAAGTAGGCACGTATATATAAATTGGCTTCATTCAGTTTGTTATAGCCGCTCGCCTCCGGCCAGATGTATCGTATCCAGGGTATTATGCTCAACAGTCTGCCGTAGTCGTCCGCATTGCGCTGGAACTGTAAGCCCAACTGAACAAGCTTTACTAACTTGGCCATTTCAGACCGGGCCAGGCGTTCGTTGTAAACAATGTGAAAGTGACTATTGACCGAGAAGGGATTAAAGAGCAATGGCAACTGCACCCGATAACCGCCCGGCTGGACCAAATGATGCTCGTGCTCATAGCGCGGACCATTGCGTATCATGTCCAGCATGTCGGTTATCTCCTCCTTTATGATTAGCTCCAACTGATCGAAACGACGACCGAAACCAAAGTCCCGCAGATAACGTAGGATGAAGCGTCGCTGTTCTTTCCAGAGTACTCCTTCCTGAAAGAATATGCCTAGGAATGACATATGAACGTTCATTTAATATACTTATATGCGGTTATAATCAAACTCGTGCAACCTTCTGTTTTTTTAGACCCTGAACCCTTTCAATATTGTGTGCAAATGTATATATAATTGGACCGCATCAAGAGATGTGTCCGTTTCAAAAGTTCAAAAATACCTAATTATGGTGAGCTATCGTATTAACACAAATTTTTGGATCGGACCGTAACACCTAAGCTCTTCCAGGGTATCTTCTAGTCAAGCATTCCTGACAGCACTTTAACTTGTTCTCTGTATTGTCGGGCTACAAAGGTTCACTGACTTAGTATATTAGACCCCATTGCTTATCGGCACCTAGTTGGCTGGCTATAACAGTACTACCGCAACAAGTCGTGAGGGACCTATTAAAGTCCAGTTAAAGATCAACTTTTCTGTTCGAATAAGTGAAAGTTCTTTGGTGGAGGAAGCTCGACTACAAGATATCCTGTAGCCAGCTCCGATACATTTCATTTTATTTACACTATATAAATTTCCTTATTGAGTATATATCGTCCCATCGCTATGAAAGTTGAAGCAAAAAGGTTAAAATGCAAAATATTCTGGGTCTTCGAGATATTCTCAACGGGTAATATTTAGATAAACTGAAATTGAGTTTACTTAATCGGTTCATATATAAGGAGATACCAATCAAGATTATATATAGATATCATTAGATATCATGTTTATCAAACGGAATGTCTTCTGTTAATAATATTTTTCTAGTTTTAAAACACACCTCGCACACAATCGCCGGGATCACGCATTTCGCTCAGATAGAGGGCAGGTCGTCCATCGTAGGCCTGATTGTTTAATACTTCGCGCACACCCTCTCCGCTGTGCACTACGGCCACGGGAAAATTGCCCACATATAGACCAATAATATCCGATTTGTACCACTTGCTAAGTATTAAGGCAGCCTTGTGTAGATATTTGTAATCGATCAGCAGCATAAAAAGATAGCTTCCAAAAATAGGCAGTCGCGGAGGACCTGCAAGAATAAATGACAGTTAATCACACGCGAATGTCGGTTGGACTGCTTGATCGAACCGGGTGGAAAGCCTGCAGGACGACCGACTGCATATTTATAAGACAGATATAGAAATATGATCGAGCACAATGCCAGCAAGAGAGCAGTTAACATTTTGCATGCGTTCCGATTTAAGTTCGGGCCAATACTGATCTATTCGAATCAGCGACACAGCTATATAATAACAATTGCCTGATAATGTCATATATTGGATTTGTTTTAAACTTAGAAATCGCAGACATTTTTGCAATTTTGATTGCGATTGCGATTTCGCAATCTGTATATATGTCGAACTTCAGAATTGTGGTCCGATATTATGTGATTAGAGAAACTCAAAAACCAAACGGAAATAGGCAATTGTTTAAAAAGTTTATTTTTTGCTTGGAAAAAAAATAAAGTTTCTAGATAAGCAATTAAAATTCCATTTGTTTGTAACAAACAATTAATAGAAAGTAAAAATCTATTTTTAATCAGATTGAGGCAATTTAAAAACTTGAACTAATCAAAATAATACGTTGTTTTTGTTTACTACAAAGTGCACGAAACAAATTTGTCCATTGTGATTGACAGATAATAATCCGAGGCGGGTTTAAAACTCGCCCACTCGGCTGGAAAATATTAACACGTTCAATAATAAGATTATATAGAGGTTTTGTAATAGAACCAGGAATGGAGAATGGCGTTCTGTAAGCCTATTTAGTCTATTTAGCAGTAACATTTATACATATACTATATGAAACTCACGCTTTTCAAGATAATATATAGGAAAAGATTATAAATGGAAACAATAATAATATTGTGCATTTGTATTGGTTGCATTTCTGCCATAAATCAATCATTTTTCAGACTGCGGCGATGTTAGATCAATCTCAATTATAGTCATTGAGATGTTGGCTTTTCCTTTCCGCTAGAAGCTGGCATCGAGGAATTAGCCACTGACAGCAGCTGGCGCTATTGGTTTATGCACCGGCCTGGTTTATGCACATGCGTCCACAACGCTGTCAAGTCATCGCGATCGTGTCTATCAACGTCAAAGAGTATCGAAAGGGAACCAGGCATGATGAATGACGTTCCGATAGCCTTATATATTTCGCAGTAACATTAAAACATATATTATATGAAACACACGCTCTTAAAGATAATACAAATAAACAGATAATAAATTGAAACGACGTTAAAAATGCACGTTTTGTCGATTAATCTTGCATTGCTTGCATTTGCGCCACAAATTAATCATTTTTGGGATGTCGGCGATGTTAGGTCAATCTCAATTACAGATGTCATTGAGACGTTGACGTTTTCCTTTTCGTTTGGAGCTGGCATTGAAGAATTACCCATTGACAGTAGTTGGCGCCACTTGTTGGCATTGCAACTTGGTCGATTCACTTGCGTCCACAGAGCTGCCAAGCCCTGGCGATCGTGTGCATCAAAATCAAAAGGTATCCACTGGCCGTCATCTGGTGAAACTGCGACTCCTTTTACACGTTCGGGCAAAGCCTTTCGATTAATGTACGTGTTGGTGGCTTCACTCAGAGTGTGCACGCTGCAGAAGATCGAGTGCTATTATTAATATATATATATATTTACAAATAGATGAATATTTCCTTGAACTCACCAGGCTATTAGCTTGTCCCGCTCTTGTTTCTTTTTGGCCAGCTGTGCCTGCATATCAGCACAATGCTGCTCCTCTTCTGACAGCTTGTCGCGCACAGCATTTTTTAGACCGTTGCGTTTTGCGACTTCATCGCGTCGTTGGTTTAATAGTGCATTTAATTTTTCCGATTCACGTTGTTGTCGTTTAATATTTTCCATAGTTGTTGCTGTGTGCGAAAAATCAGAAAATTTTGAATTCTTTAAATTTAAATGCAGGCATCCATACCGAAATTGCTGTGAAATTTGGCGCTCTGCTTGGCTATGGCATTCTCCTCTTGCTCCAACCGCATCTCATTTGCTAACATTGCCATAAGGCGCTTGCGAGTGTTAAATTGGTTGGACATGTAGTCTTAATTAGCTGTTTAAATTAAAATTTAAATTAAAGCGCTTGGCTAAATTTCCAGTGCCCTACTATAAATGACGCTTCCATCAGAACTAGAGTTGCCAGATTGTTGTTTGTTTTGAATTAGAGATGAGCGTTAATGTCGTTTTTGCTACCTGCTTTAATTTGGAAATTGTCAATAATTATGCTTAAGTCTAGTATGCTTTGCACCTTTTAATTAAATTTAAGTTTTCAGTGGTAATCAACTCTATAAATCAATGATTATACATTTTTTTTAACAGAATTTACGCTGCCAGACTGTTTAAGATTTTAGTGCTTGCATGCGCCGCATGTGGCAACGTATCGCAACTATCGTATACAAGAGATATCGATAATTTTGTCTGCCCTAACTAGCATGCTGATAGCCGGCAAAAATTGCAAGCAAAGCATCATCAAAATTTGCCAAAATTTGAGGACAAGTGAGATTTGTTCGGTGCTGCAATTGAAATATTAATGCGTATACTGCACACCGTAAAGGCGTTACGCACTATATTCCATCGCAGCTATAGTAATAGCACGACAATTAGAACGGTAAGTACCTACAGATGTATGTGTGGTCATGTTCATATACCGGTGACGGGGGCGGAACGTAAATTTTATTTTTTGCGAACAAAGAGAAGCGCTTGTTTTTTGGATTCTAAAAATAGATAAGACATTTGCATAAAACGTCTGTGTTGCTGTCTAAACTCTTTGATTGCACAAATGTATGCACACATACATTGCTGTTCGCCTTTGTTTAATTGGAAGAAATCTGAAAAGTTTATAGAGCACCCGTTTAGATAGCCGCAGATCCACTTGTTGGTCTCCGTACTTTTCACACAAGGTCACGACGTTTGCGATGTCATTGCGCTATAGCATTGATGACGTCGCAAATGGTGTGAACTGAGCGCTTATCAGACTGTGTCATATTCAGCAGCTGGCAATTCGAAATTGTTATTATATTTCGTTTTATTGCCCCGCTCGCAATTGCAGACGCTGTATTTATGCATTATTATTTTTTATTTATAGATAAGAATATGTTTATTGTTATGACTAATAGAATGCGTTGCAAGGTATTATACATGAATGATTTTTTTATTCAGATTTTTTGTTATAAAGCAAGCGTTTTTGGCTAGACCATCAAATGACGACGACCGCATACCCTTAAAAATACATATCTATGCTTAAATAAAACACGAGAGTGATAAAGCGATTACTTACTTTTGATACAATTTGGAAGAAATAAAATTATAACCCTTATCTTTATATTTGAAATATAAACAAAAATTTAAATTATAATTTTTTATACAAAATGCAGCATTAAAAGTTTCCCATGTAATTTGCATGGGAAATTATTAAGTGTTTATCATAGTATTGTTTAATATTTATGAATTAGAAGGACTTGCAGTGAATAAAAATTGCTAGAATTGGAAATTAGGTCTGTTCAATTAGCAATAGATTGCTGTACAGTAGTTTTTTTCGGTATGCAGTATGCTTTATTTTATGGAAGATCTATAAAAACCTGTGAAACTTCTATAAACATGAACTTTTGTCAATTTATTATTGTGGCGTGTAAGCCCCACAATCTAATTTTTTCACTACGCACATGGTAATGATTAGAACCGGAGTCAAATCAGCTATTTCAATCAAATTGTGTCATGTGCACAAGTTTACAGTACAAAGTCGTTTATTTGTGCCAATCTGGAGTATCATAAATCGTACCAAATCAACGATTAACAGTGTTAAGGTGGTGGCGCGCTAAAATGCTTGTGAACTAAGCGTTAATCCGTTTCTACACTCATTGCAGATGGCCACGGACATCAAGTTTAATGCGTCTCTTACACGCACGGATCCGCAGCAGCAGCCGGTGCTAATTATTGGCCAGCTGCGTCATCTGAACCTGCTCAAGTTTGGGCAGCTTGCTATCAAATTGGAGCCGCGTGTCAGTGAGGAGACATTCAAGAATGCCATCGCCTGCCTGCATCCGGCGCCAACAGACAAGTGTTCGCTTTACCTGGACGTGGCCACAGTCGCTGCGCTGCCTTTGAAGGCGTCGAGACATAACACCGCCTCTCGGGCGCACTCGATTACGCGCCTGGTGAAGAACCATGTGCTCAATGTGAATGAGGAGAGCGTTGTGTTAGTTTGCGAGCGTGAGAACATCTTTGCCAGCGCCTGTGCTGTGGTTCGTGCCTTTCCACTCTACTCCCGCAAAACGGGCAACGGCAACGGTGCCAAGTCGCCTTCAATAGACGGCGGCGACGGGCAATCCGCGCGGTCTGTGGTCAATGTAGAGTTTGTTGTCATTGATAAAGATGGCTGCGTACAGAAGGAGCCTCTCAGCCAGGATGAGCTCCAGTGCCTGCACGAGACGGCGCGTGGTATACGTCTCGCAGCACGCATTGTGGATACGCCCTGCAACGAGATGAATGTGGATCACTTTATTCAAAATGTCAACGAGTTTGCCAAAGAGCTTTGTCTGCAGCCGCAAATCATACGCGGCGAAGAGCTGCAAGAGCGCGGCTTTGGCGGAATCTATGGCGTGGGCAAGGCGGCGGCTGTGCCCCCAGCTCTTGTCGTGCTTTCGCATGAGCCCAAGGGTGCACAAGAAACTATTGCACTGGTCGGCAAGGGCATTGTCTACGATACTGGCGGTCTGAGCATTAAGGGCAAAACGGCTATGCCGGGCATGAAACGGGATTGCGGTGGTGCTGCAGCTATTCTGGGGGCCTTCTATGCGGCCGTCAAGTGCGGTTTCAGAGATAACTTGCATGCCGTCTTTTGTTTGGCCGAGAACTCTGTAGGCCCAAATGCCACGCGGTAAGCGGTCGTGTCATCTATTATTGCCCAAACTAATCCTCTTATTATAATATTCACGCAGTCCCGACGATATACACACCTTGTACTCAGGCCGTACTGTGGAAATCAACAATACGGATGCTGAGGGTCGTTTGGTGCTCGCCGATGGCGTTTGCTTTGCCAACAAGGATCTTAAGGCAAATATTATTCTTGATATGGCCACGCTGACGGGCGCTCAAGTAAGTAAACTCATATTTTATAATAGTAACTGCAGCTATAAATGCATCTCACTTTGGGGTTAGATGCTTTTCTTTCTAGTTGTAATAACACGAATTAGTCTAGTAATCCTATAGCTGCCATTAAATTGCAATGAACACACACCATATATGTTAAATATGTGCCGGCATTAGTAAATTGATAAGCCAGTCTACGTTTAAATTTCCTACAATTTTACTCTACATGCATACTCTACATGCACAATAGTTTATTCTTATGGTAAACGTCTTGCAGCTTTAACATTGAGTTGCTAGGATATTTCATAAATTCTGTATAATAAACAAATTTTTAAGCCACTTTTCATTTACATCTCTTCTAATCTTACTATATTAATCTTTGGTAGTTGCAATGGAATTTTAACTATGACCCCAATTAATTCTCATGTCTTCTTACTGTATTAACATTGAGCACATTAGGGATATTTCATAGAAGCCAGCCTGCATTTATAAGAATCTCTTCCAATCTTACTTGCCTACATGTAAGGTCTTAACTATTTTCATTGGAGTATTGAGTTATGATATCTTCTTTGTAACAAGCTATTTAAAGCTGTCACGAGCATATTAAAGATATTTTATAGATTTTGGAAACTTAACAAGTTTATAAGCTAGTCTGCATATCTATCTGTTGCAGTCTCTCTCTAGTAGTAGCTAACTTGTTTGCTTTATTCTAGACATTTTTCATCCCATAATATCTTATCAAATTCCCTAGTCAGCTGTCCAATGTAGTTTTGCTTCGCGTTTCTTAGCGTGACGAACTGTATATAACCTCTTGGCCGTGCTGTGCATTTTTCTTGCGTTCCTAAATGCAAAATTTATGCCACGTTTTATAAAAGTCACGAGGTTAATTGGCAAAAATAAATTGCAAATTTGGTTTTTTTCGGCGGCAACTTGAAGTAGCAGCAGAAGCGGAAGAAGCATCAGCAGCAGTTGCCGCCGCGTATGCACAACAGCAACAATGAAGGCAACGAGGCAAACCCGTTTTGCGGTTATTGCTGGTTTTTGGTGGGGTTGTTGGTAGGTCGCGGGGCGGGTGGCGGGTGGTGCGATTGCTGCGAATGCAGCAGCAGGAGAAGGGGCCATTGGCTGGCTGGGATGGCGCACAATTACCATAAATCTTGCATGCAATTTGCTTAAAATATGATGCCAATTTGCGTTATTTGTGGTTCGATGGGAAATAAATCGAAACTGGTCAGGGATAGCGAACAGGACAAGGCACGAAATGGCTGAGGATTCCTCCTGTCGTGTCCTGCAATAAAAAAAGCTACGACTCCAACTCGTTGCGAGTGCAAGTAAAATTGTTAAGCAAAACTAGTCAACACTTGTTTTTTTTCTGCTTTTCATGCAATTTCTGTAAAATTGTTTAGAATTTGTTTTGACGCTTGTTGTGTTTAATTTCATTACACACGGTCACACACACGTACGCACACACACTCCGACATACACACACACACACAGATATTCAACGGGCCAAACACTTTTGCAACATGCAATAATATTAATTGCCAACATTGGTGCAACTGCGACTGCAGCAACAACAGCAACAACAACAATGAGCAACAAAAGCAATAACGTACGAAATTAAACTAAACTCGCCTAAAATATACCCTTTTTTTTTTATTTTTCTACACCAACACTTTTTTTTCTGCGAAGCAGAAGATAGCTTGCAGTCATATTTATGACTGCCCAAATTATATTTGTAACAGGCACAACCTAAAACAGAGCTTCAATTTCTTCGCTTTTCTTTTTCGGTAGCGATAGAAGAGCAGACAAATTTGAGGTTTAATTTTATTTAACATAATTTTTCATTTTATCTTCCTGGCGATAGAAATGGGAAGCAGCTTTACAGTCATAGCTAAAAAATGTGTCAACTTTTCTTGTTCTTAATGCTTTTTTATAAGCCTGGAACTAAAGTATTCGATTTAATCTGAAGACACAGGATATAAAGCTTAAAGCTAAAATTCCTTTTTTTTGAGAATCTAAAGTTTGTAAATTTTTTTTATTCAAAATAATAAGATGAAGCTGCCTTTGAAATGTGCTTGTCTAAAGTGGGGATACTTTTGGCTATTTAAACAATTAAATATAGAAGTAATAATAAAACAGCACATAACTTTTAACTTACGCGAAGAATCCCTTTTCTACAATTATATAGGGTATATTGAAACAAGCAACAAACGGCAGCCAACACTTTTGGTCTTTTTACATTTTATGTTGCTGCTGCTTGTTACACCTTTTGTTGTTGTTGTGTTTGTGTGCTGATGTGTATATTGGTGTGTGTGTGTGTGTGCTGCTTTCATTTGTCCAGCTGTAGTTTAACACGCGCTGTAGAGTCCTTGGCTGGTCTTGATACTGGTTCTGGTCGTGGTCCTGGTCCTGGTCCTGGCTTGCTCTTGTTTGGGTGTTGCTTGTGCTAAATAACCTTGCACCTTTTTATTGCTGGTCGCGTCGGAAGCTCGCAATTTTGGCATCGCAACCATGCATCGCCGCTTGGCTGCCCCCATTGTGCTGCATCCAAAGCAGCCCCTGCCCCAGTGTGGCAGGAATGTTGCCACCTTTACTGTGTTAGTTGCTCTGCAGTTTCATTGTTAGCAATCGGCTTGAATATTGCATGTTTTCTATCAGCTTGGATGGGCAAGCCATTAAGGCACTATGTTTTTCTTATTTCCACTGCCACATATTAAATTTGTTTTCTTCTCACTTACAGGGCGTTGCAACAGGCAAATATCATGGCGCCATATTGACAAACTCGGAGCCATGGGAATCAAAGGCATTGCAGGCCGGACGCAAATCCGGCGATTTATTGGCGCCCATTATTTATTGTCCCGAATTGCATTTCTCCGAATTTGCATCGGCCATTGCTGATATGAAAAACTCTGTAGCGGTAAGTACAGCCCACAATAAAAGAAGAGACGAATTTCAAGTACTTGACAATCAAACGCCACACATCAAACACTACACACACACACACACGCGCATACGCACACATTCGCACGCACGAGAACACACGCAAATGCATACCTTTAAGGCGTATGTGTGATAAAAAAGTATAGACCGTTTTTTATGTCCTCCATTTTCTGTTAGCAATTTAGTATTTGGCACAAAAACTCTGCCACTTGATTGCAAAGTCTGAAAATATCGACTCAAATTATCATTTTTTATACATCTCATTTAATCGATCAAATTAGAACAGTTCAGCATTCAGCATTCAGCATTTTAGGCCTTATGGCCATCTCATGAAGAAGAAAACAAATCTAGGTGGTATATAAAAATATTATTTATCTACGACACATAATATGATTGCAATCTGCCTTACGTCGACGATTAAAATACCCATTCAATCATCTTTTTCAAAAGTTAATTTTATTTCCATCGATTGTCCCTGTATGAGCAATATTATATAGTGGTTCATTGTTGATAATAATAATGACATGAGTGTATAGATGTAAGGACACAGTGAAATGAATAAATGTGAAGTTCGATCAGGTTTTGTATGCACACATTTCGGGTAGAAATTTTAATAGCATACAAATCTAGAATATTTCTTATTACCCAATTTGAACTCAATTCAAATTTACTTTTCATTTTATATGACTGTGGATTGGTTAAATTTATTTAAAATTAATTTCACAGTTCCTGCGAAGTCAAAATCTTAGGAATAAATAAAAAGTAAATCCTTGAATGATTTTTTAAATGTTACTAAGCATAAAAAAATATAAATCATTGAAGTCCCGTTTTAGGGGCGACCACTGTATTTGGTGTACATAAATAACATTTGTTTCATTTGGAAATGCTTTGCTTGGCCAAACGGGACATATAACTTCTTAGAAAATATGCCAAAAGAAATATGGTTTATTTGCAATGCACATTTTGTGTGATAAACACAAAACAAACACTCGTAAATACACCAGCATGTATAATACACAATTTTAATTAACTTTGTCGGTCGAGGTTTATTTCTTATTTTTTTATCGCTGCAATGTTGCGAAAAATGATGGACGTCATGTTCGGTTTAAAGATTGATTAGTATTACTGTGATTTATGCCACACACACACACATGCTGCACACTCACACATGCTCCCCTGTGCTCACATGTATCAAAAACTTTGGCGTTCAATCTACGCTTTGCAAAAGTAATAGGGCGGATGAGTCGGGGGGTTTGGTGGCTGCTGCTGCTGCTTCTGCTGCTGCTGTGGTGCGTATGGGGCCTCAAGCTACACCACAACAGCAACCAAATCGAGTTACCTTATTGTACGTCTAAAACGCTTCGGATCAATGGTCATTCATCATTGTCACGCCATGGGCGACTGTCGGGCAACTCTGTTGCCTTGCTTGTGCCTGGCTGGGTGCGTAGGTTGCTGCCAGGTTGGCCCCCGACTGCCAGTTAGGTCAAGTGGCGTGGCAGCTTTGGCTGCCTGCCCATTACCTACACCAGTGGAAGCTGCCTGGCTCTAGCCAACCAAAATGCCCCAACTGACCCACCTGCTCGCCGGGCTGTTGGCTGTTTGATTTTTTGACCATTTTGACGCTCGTTGTTTTTGTCTTTACGTGCAGAAAAAAAAAATGCAAGTACCCCCAAGCTGCCCATCCGCTTGTCCAGTTTCGGAACCGCCTTCTGCATTTGATGTGACATCAGCGCTTCTTGCGCCGCGCACTTTGTCAACGTGCCTGTGATAAAGTGCTTTAAACTTAAAATGCATTCAACGTTAAATGCAAAAAAGCTGAATCGAAATTACGAGTAACAAAAAAGATAGCGAAAAAAGGCACACAGGAATCCCGAATACTTAATGCTCTTTCCGACATATTACTTAAACGGGCAAGTAGCTAAAATAATATTTGTTATCCTTATCAATAATCTTTGGATAAGGGGTGATGAATCTGCCAATGTGAGCTTTAACCCTAACGAATGACAAACAAATAATCAATCAGTTAGTCAATCAGTCAGTTATCAATCAAAATTCAGCATTTCAGATTTTACCGGATTTGCAGTGCGTTATTCTTCAATCAGTCAATCAGTCAGTTAATAAGTCAGTCAGTACGTAATATTTACCCACATCACAAAAGATCTCTGCTGTAGAAAATTCAGCTTTACAGCGCCGACCTTTTTTTGCAGTGTGTTAATCATTAATCAGTCAATCAGTCAGTCAGTCAGTTAATCAGTCAGTTAATAAGTCAGTCAGTACGAAATATTTAACAATATCGCAAAAGATCACTACTGTAGAAAATTCAGCTTCTCAGTTGTTACCGTTTTTGCGGTGCGTTATTCATTAATTAATCAGTCAGTCAATCGGGCTTTCAATCAGTCAGTCAGTACGAAATGATTAATATATATTAATATATATTATTTATTGCATCAAATTCGTTTAGGTCCCGCCCAGCTAGAAACAAATTAATTATTGCGTACCGTCCCCATTTTGTCTCAAAATAATCCCGCCCGTCCCGATCCCCCGGGATTGTATTCCTTCGATACGTTAGTTATTTTAAAGGTCAAGTAATTTCGGGATCCAAAATGTAATATCGGAACCGGCTGGAATTTCGAGCTCGTGCAAAGATTCAACCCATTTCGCATATTTTAAAATCCTTTTCCGTTCCATATACATATAAGTTATGTCGCTAAATTAGTGTATCCTACATAGCTAGGGTATACAAATTACAGCTGGCACCCGTTCTTTTGCTGGTGGTATCCGCCAAATTCGCACGAGTTGCGTTTAAATTACATGGGTTTTTTGTGCTTTGGCAACTCGTCGCTAGTTTCCCACTAAATGGACGGATTATGAGTGTTGTTAGTGGTTGGTGGTTCGTTTGGAGGCAGCTACCGCGTTTTTTTTCTGTTTTGTTTTTGTTTTTTGCACCATCTGCTGTTGGCTCATTTTGACGAGCATTTGGAGTTGCCGTCGCTAGGCTGTTTTGGCCAGTCTGCCGGGCAGCAGGACGCGGACGGATACTTGTCCGTTAGTCTGGCTTTTAAATAACTGACTGCAATTTGTTTTTCGCCGCTTCTGATTTGTGCTGTGCTTTGGTCTCTGGGCGTTGGCTGTGGGTTTGATTTGGAGGTCAGGCCATCATTAGCCTTGTTGTGGCTGTGGTTAACACGTTGCGTACGGTTTTTTTTGCTGCCTATTTTTGGCTTTTGTTTTAAAGATAGATATAGATGGAGGAAAGGGAAAGAGAAAGAAGCGCATTTATGTGAAAAGGGAACTATTTTATAGATACAACCAATTAGTGGTAATGTATTAAATACCTATTTTTGATAAATACAGTTTTTAAAGTAAAACGTTTATTATTAATTTTGTAAAATTACAAATTAGTCATCTAAAATGTCATATACAAAATCCGGTTATTCATATGCAAATATCAAGGCAATTTAAATTTTCTAAGTAGCAAGTAAAAAAACATTTTTATTAAAATTAAATAAAATTTAAATTTATTCTCACTTTGCTGAGCATTATGGTCAATAACTTTAATCGTATCTATGCTTAAATGAAGTACTTAATACATAGAAGAAAATATATCAGATTTATTTTATATCAAACAAGATATTTGTATCCCCGATAAGTTAAGCATAAAGCAGTCAAGAACTAGAAAAGCAACAATCAAAGAAGTAAATAAAACAATAAAATGATTTAAACGTGTCAAATTGTTTCTCAATTTTGAGACAACACCCAGCGACGGCAGAAAGCGTCGAGCTCTTCCGAGTACAACGCAAAGTTACTCAAATTTTATGACTGTGAAATTTTACCATTGTTGGTAATTGATTTTTATGTTAAATCGTAAAAAGCAGCCAGCGCACAAACCAGGGAGCATGAATTTTAGATAAACCCATCGAACAAGCAAAGCAACGTGTTGCGGTTCGCGTCTGTTTGTGTGCGGCAACGGGGCGTATGCGTAATTGCTTTCTTTGTTTTTATTTTTTGGATACACTTGCCTGCAGGATATTATATATAAGTGAATAAATATGCAAAGCCATAAACTTTCGACTCCTAATATACATATTACTCTTCCGGTTGAAAATCTGAATCAATTGGAAAATATGAAGTATATCCATATTTAGCTGGAATTGGAATTCAAAATTGAGACAGAATATGTTTTTTTTCTGTTTTAGCTGCACTTTAAACATTTAATAAAACTGTGCTTAGCTGTTTCGCTTAACGACCAATTCAAGTATTACAAGAGTATTTAATATTCGGCACCCGGCAAAAAAATAAACTTCTTGCCTGAAACGCAGTTGGTAAATTTTTATTAAGCGGTAACATTTTAAATTCAATTGTACGACGACTTTTTACGCTTTTTAATGAATTAAATTGAACTTTTTATGCGCCAAAGTTCTGTTTTTTTTTATGTTCAGGTCTTTCATTTTTTTTTTAATAAATTTTTATTTTTACGCTGCGACCTCAAGGCGCCAAATATGATATTTTGTTTGGGTTTGGTGTTTGTTTTCTCAGTTACTGTTGATTAAATAATGCCAACAGTTTATAAATAATGCTCAAGCTTAGTGATTCAGTGGTTTAAATGCAGATTTTAAGTTCCGACCAGCTTCTGCACAACCGTAAGTCACGTAATTTGCGCCATGTCCCGCGATTTCCGTAGCCTACTTCGGGGGGCCTCTCTCCTCTGACTCCGGCGACTTTGTTAACACAAATCTTTCCGCTTGTTATGTGTTGGTTTCCGTTGAACTTTAGCACGTCTCTCAGGCAGGCAAAAAATGAAAAGAAAAAAAAAACAGGGAAAAGGGAAAAAGAAAGGAAAATAAACCATGCCGTCGTTCGCATTGACTGTTTCTAATATTTTCGCTTTGCTCTTTTGCCTTTTGCGTGGCGAAAAGTTTTTAAAGCGCCGCGACATTGGGGGAAAATTGAATAAAAACGTTTGTCGCTTTCAGCGTG